CCCTCGATCTGTCTTTTTCTAACCATCTATCTTTGCATACACCTATATATATTTCATCTACCTATTAATTTATGTACATATCTATCAATCTGTCTATCCATCTACCAATCTATCTATCTAACTACCCCTCCTATACTGTCAGTACGAACGAAACCTCCCAATAAACACAGGGACCAAGAAGAAACAAACAAACAAACAAAACTCGAAATCCATAAAATTTAGTCTCAAAACATTGCTGTGTTTAACCCCCCCCCCCCCCCAACCCGCCCCACCCCCCTCAACCTCAATAAGCATATCTGTTTACATGTCACAACACTTTATTCCTCCGAACACTCACGAAGCTTAAATGCATTACATACTCATTTGTTTTCAGCTAATGTAAAAAAAAATCATTTTCTGATTTGCGAAATAATGCACATATGTCTCTCATTGTCAAAGGATCACTGATACACGTGAAGCTAATGTTTATGCGTTGTACAATATTACGAAAGGGAGGTTTAACATTAATTCGTAGCGAAGGGTATTGGGTTACATATAAAGACAGGCGTGTGGAAATTCTGTTCAGGAGGGAGTGTTTTGTGATTTGAATCCATAATGATTTTACTGAAAAGTTTAAATCATTTTGAAAGATAATTGATCATTTCAGGAAAAAAAAAGTCAAAATATGTGATCATCTCAACGTTGTAATATTGATGAGAGTGATGTAAGTAATGATGGTAATTAGTGATAAAACTAATAATAGCAATTTTGATAATGATATTGATTATATTAGTAATAATGATAACAGTAATAGTAAGATTAATGATGATAGTAATAATAGTAATAATAATGGCAATCATAATAGTAATGATAGTAATAATAATGACAATAATAATAATAATATGAATAAGAATATAAGTAGTAGTAATAGCAATGATTATGATGATTGTAATAGTAATGATATTACTATTACTGTTACTAATACTACTACTATTTCTACAGCTGATTATGATAATAACGACAATGATACTAATAAGAAAAACGGTATTTATAAAAAATAATGATGAGGATGACAATAACAATAATAGTAGTAATGATAATAATAATGAAAATTATAATAATATTGACAATGAAAACAACACTAATAACAATATTATCGATAGTCATGGCGATTGTGGTAACGATGATGATGATTATAATAATACTGATAATGATAATAACAATAATAATAATGGTAATGATGATAACATTAATGATAATAATTATGATGATGATAATTACATTGATAATGACAATAACAATAGCAGTAATAATAGAGATGGTCATAAAAGTAATAATAATGATAATAACTATGTCGGTAACAGTAATCACAACCATAATAATAATGATAATGATAATGATGATAATAATAATAATAATAATAATAAAAACTATAATCATGATGATACTATTACTAATGATGATGATGATAATGATAATAATCAGAGAGTAATAACAGTTATAATAACAATGATAATAATGATAACAATGATGTTGATGATGATGATGAGGATAATTATAAGGTAACAACAACAGCATCAACATGATAATAATGATAATAATGATAATAGCGATAATAATAATAATAATAATAATAATAATAATAATAATAATAATAATAATAATAATAATAATAATAATAATAATGATAATAATGATGATAATAGTAATAATAATAATAATGATAATAATAATAATAATAATAATAATGATAATAATGATAATAATAATAACAAGAACAACAACAACAACAACAACAACAACAATAATAATAATAATAATAATAATAATAATAATGATAATAATAATTATTATCTGTCCGTGACTATGTTTTTTTCTTTTGTGTGTATAAAGTTGGATATAAATATTCTATGAACATTTAATTCACGATGTTCATGAAAGTTGCCGATTCTTTGCATTTAAAACCTTAACAGTCACACAATAAAGCCTGCATGTATAGAAAACATATATCTATAGCCTGGAACTCAAACATATTTCAGTACAGAAGCAAATAAACAAAATAATTCAGAAAGAAGAACATACTTTCTGGAACGATAACAAGTAAATATTCAATTTGATATTTCATTTATACACAGGAATATCGATATTTTCCGAGAACTACTCTACACAGTACGTTTCCTAGAGCTGTTTGTTTTTTGTACTTTCACAGTCATGCCTGGAGTAAAAGACCACCTGAATACAAAGACCAGCTATTTAATTAAAGGGTCTTTGTGCATTTTTTTTGTTTGTTTGTTTTTCCCTCCTATTAAAACTGAGGAAGGAGAAAAAGAGTAAAGTTTTTTTTTTTTCTGAGGAAGAGAGCATACACACAAACACACACACACAGACACACACACACACACACACACACACACACACACACACGCACACAGATGTTAGATAAGATAAGGTAATCCCCTCCCCCCCAAGAGAGAGAGAGAGATAGATAGATAGATAGAGAGAGAGAGAGAGAGAGAGAGAGAGAGAGAGAGAGAGAGAGAGAGAGAGAGAGAAGAGAGAGAGAGAGAGAGAGAGAGAGAGAGAGAGAGAGAGAGAGAGAGAGAGAGAGAGAGAGAGAGGAGAGAGAAGAGAGAGAGAGAGAGGAGAGGAGAGAAAAAGAGAGAAAAGATCCGGAGAGAGAGAGAAGATGAGAGAGA